TGATGTGAATTCTTGTCAAAGAAAGTCTGATCTGGTAGAAGCCAAGATTAAGAACTCTACCTAAAGTGGCTTGTCTTTGCTTCTGTTGAGGAAGATGGATGGTTTGTTCCTGCTGTACCTTTGGCAATGCTCTTCCTCCTCAAATAGCAAACAAGTGTAAGTATTTACAAATGTGTAGTATGTCTAATGCTAATGAAGTTGAAGTCCAGCCAAGGGTTCACTGAATTTGAAGGAAAGCTTGTCATTGGCATTACTGGGCTTCTGTTGTGTCCTTGGGACTTCAACTGACACAAATGTGCAAAAATTTGTATTATGCATATGCTTACTTCCACTAGCCTTGCCAGGTCAGGACCTGCTAAAAGAGCTGATGAAACAATGAGACAGTATTTAGCAGCTATCTTTGCAAATAAAAAAGTTTTTAAGATTAGTATGAATAATGGAAAAAAAATGACTGCTTTATCCAAATATTCAAGCACCTGTTAAGTACCTGCCATATTCTTTATAAATCTGAGTGTTGCATTAATTTTACCACAAAAAACTGCATATGAAAATTGATAGTGGGAGCTGCATTATTGGTTATTACTCACTGCATGTCATGTCCAAGTCAGAATTTCACTTGCCAAGGAAGTAGACATAATGCACTGAGACCAAGAATATATTCACAGCAGAGAACAATGCAGTAATAATTGGGCCCATAAATTACCTCTGCTCGAACCAGGTAGCCCGGCAACAAGCATCATCCGTCAGTCAAAAGTTAATCAAAAACAAAAGTTAATTAGCCAAAAGTTTTCATAAATATGTTATGTTACCCAGAAGGAGCCTACATTGAAAAATAAGACTGTCTGGAGCTAGCTAATTCTAGGTACTGCTGTAGCCTTTCTTTTCCTTTTATATCATAGAACTGTGTCATGAGTCCATTTCATAGAATATGGAGGAATTTTTTTCCAACAAAGCTTCATCCTCTCATGGCAGCTGAGCCTCAGAAGTGCACTTTGCCTTCAAAATAATATGTCAGATAAAGGCGCTGTTGCCGTTAGGATGGTAACTTCTCAGCATTGCTGATCTGGCTGAAAGCAAGATTAAATGGAAAAGCAGTACAACAATATGTGGCATTACGCTTATTGGTCTGTGGAGCTTTTTGAAGTTGTAAAGATTAATATTTAACTTTCAGCTAACTTTTAAGGTAAATACATAAATAAAACTCACTTCTAATACCTGATGTGTGTTATACTGTGTGTAGCCTTAATTAGGCCAAAGTCTTCTGCAGTGCTGAAACGCCTATTAAGCAGGTGCTTCTACGCCAGATACACCAGGTTGGAGATGTTAGGATTGCTCTGGCTTCACAGAAGTTACACAAGGGAAGACTGAGATGAAGAAATGGCCCAAATGCTGTCACTGTACCATTGCTGGGTCCAACTGCTTTTTGGACTATGAATGCTAGAAGTGTTGCTCACCAGGAAAGGGACTTCATCTCTATCAGCACAGCAAGGGGTACACATGGCGGCTAGGATGGTGAGCAGCGCAAGCGAGGAGCAATCTCTCTTTTCCAGACAAAGACAAGAGCAATGTCAGGGAGCTGCTGCTGCGTGCTGTTTCTTGTACCGGCAGGGAACTGCGGGAGATTGATTCTGCCAGTGAGCGCCTGTGGGCCAGCTTGTTGCTACTATTAGGACCAGATCACTTCCACCTGGGTTATTCACTGACAGTAAAGGCAACAGTGTGAATTTCTCTATGATAAAGTGTTTTCTAATTGTTCCAGTGGGATTTGTTTCTCCGCCCGTTCAATGGTACAGTGCAGATTAAACGGCTTGTTGGTACTGATGTGTAGGAAGAAGTTGATGGTGCTCTATATTTAAGCCTGATTTCCTCTGAGCATTCTACCTGCCCAGCGAGCCAGCACTTTCACGCCGTTGAAGCGCTGTAGTCACATGGAATGGCCTGGTCAGCTGGCTGCAGGGGGCACAGGTGACCAGGCTAATCATTAAGTAAATTACTTCGGTAACTCACCCCTATTTTCCCACTGAATTTCATTCCCTACTACATGGACAACTGCCCAAAGTAGGAGACGAAAGCGGTTGCACCATGGCCACCAAAGATCTGCCCAAAAAAGCAGGCCTGCGCAGTGCCCCAGTGCTGTCGCTGAGCACCCCCCTGCCACAAGCCTGTTACGGGTGGAACCTAAGGCCCGGGACAGGGTCTTGATCATGGTCACACACGAAAGGTGATGATCAGGGATCTGGTCCACATTTTTCAAAAATGATGCAACTTCCCCTCCAGTCTAGCTTTGAGCTAAATTATGTTTTATGCATATAAAACTTCTGTAACTTCAGAGTGACTTCTATATATCATTTGTGTACCCACAACAATACATATTATTAAAATTCCTGTTATCTGTATTAATCATTAATGAATTTAGCTCAGAACTTCCAACAGTGTACACCATTATTGTCATCCTGTATATACATATGTATAAATTTACCTTCACTTTTAAGAGATAAGTATGATGTCAATGTTTTGCAAGCACTCTATAAGAAGTTATTATTCCCATAAATGTTCTGTTTATTTTCCTGAATATATTTGAGAATTACATCCTGAATGTGATTCCAATGTGACACACATGCTGTGGGAAAAACAGTTATGCCTTTATAGGAAAATGTGAATTTCACAATTCTAAGGCAAAAATCCTGAGAGAGAGAATGAAGGCAATCTCCAGGATGCCTTCCTCTTATGTTTGACACATACCAGTTCTTACTTCAAAAACATCAAAAGACTCTGCATTTGTCATATTAGAGTGATAATACTTCAAGAAGACATTATGAGTAAAGCAGCTTAAACAGCTCAATGCTACAGCTGTAACGTAAGCTGTTCTCATTTATTACTGCCATTGTGATTGATAGAGTTTGCACTCTCCAGAGCATTTCTTATACATAATAGTGTAATTGTTAACTAAGACTTTGATTCAACTATTTTTATAAAACATGCAAAAACGATGCAAAATGGCAAATTGGAGATAATTACAATCAATTGCCCCAGCAAGCTGCAGCAACACATTTATGATTTTCTGAAACAAAACAGGTAAAAACGTTATGTAAATCAGATCTCAAATTTTGTAGGAGTGCATCAATAGACTCAAGGAAGTTTGCAACAATTACAGGGCAACAGTGCCATCGTGAGGTCAGCAGAGAATTAAAGGAAGAGGAAAGCTGCAGGTATTGCTCTGAAGGTATTTTATTTTTAAAAAGCAGAAATTTTTTGTTCCAGCTGTATGTTCCAAGAAAAAAAAAAAATACTCTCAAGCCATTTTCTTAGTTTGATCTTGTTAAAAGCAAGCATTTGCAAGCAGCAACAATTTCAACACACACTCTTTCCTGAATCATGGATTACTAATTTATTTTCTTGGTTGCTTGGTTTCCTCCTTTCACTAATTGGCATCTGCATTTTGCAGATGACAAAGCATACAACAAAATTCTTGCATCCTATATACTTTTTCAGATTAGAGTAACACCACTGCATATTCTACCCTTTGATGTTTTATGGGCTATACAATAAAGATACCCATGAAGGCCAGCAAACTGCATTGCAGATTTTCTGGTTGAGGCACAGAACAGAAAAATCTGAATGTGCAGACATGGTGAGAAAGCAAGGATTCACCCTCCAAATACGTGTAAGAATCCTAAACAACGTGAAAGAATGCAGCAGGAAAGCTGCACTGATCTATACAGCACAGCTACTTTGGCTGCGCGTACCCGCCAGATATTTCCCACCACACTGAGTGCTCGGTGATGACCACCAGCTTAGCGGTAGTTTTAGACTAGCAAACCAAGTGGTCATATTCTAATTCTTTTCAGCAAAGGCTGTGGGGAAAACAGTAACCACTATGCAAGCAAATGCGATAAGCTCTGCTGGGTGGTTAAGAATCTGCTAGAGCACAACTATTGTTTGATGACACAAGTAGTTGTCTATCAGCAAATACACCAAATTAAACTGATGTTTCAAATAAGATTCTCTTCTTTTTGAGTAAAAACCATCTAGAATACCTCCTTAGATAACATTCATGGCCCAAAAAGAAACATATGTTTTGAAAATTAGCTGTTTTCTAAGAATGTATGTTTTATTGCATTTCAACCCAGAGATAGAAAATCTTTCTATAAAATCCTTATATAAAATGTCAGATACTACAGTTCCAAAGGATTTTCTAAAATTAACGTGTCTGACTTAGTTCATGAAACTTACACCACCTTAAGTGAGAAACCCCCTACTCTAGCAGAGAATTGTGAAGGGAAAGATGGAGATACCTCATCAGCTTCAAGAAAATAAGGATTTGCTATTCAAAGTACAGTTGCTTCTCCCCAAAACACAGGTGCCAGTACTGTGGATGGTGTCCGGTCCAGGACAGCAGTCTCAGGGGATCAGTTTATAACATAGTTTCAAACCAAAGAAGGTGTTATTTTGAGCGTTATGCCCTGAAGCAGGCCTGTAAAGAGCTGATGGACAAGCCATTCAGCTGCCCAGGCAGGAAGGACTATAAAATCATCAATTATGCTAAGCTGACCCATCCCACTTATTAGTCAGACATTAAACTAAAAGTAGCCTGCTTTGGTAGGTCACCTAGTTAGTAGGAAGAAACAGGATAAAATCTTTTTGATCTTTTGATAGTTAAAAAATATTTACAAGCACAGACAAAAAAGCCACTGTTTCTCTATATATACAAAGTATCAATAATTCTTTTATCAAGTACTGTAGATTATATACAGCATCATTTTAACCTACAGATTGTGAATCTCTGTACATTTTTGTCTGAAAAATTTTTCACATCAGTTTTAACAAAATCTGTTTTACAATATTCATTCTTTATATTTTCAGAAGAGTAATGTATGGTAAACAGAAGGAAGACCAAAATATTTTTTCTTTCATAATACAATTAATTTAGCATGTTTGAAACTGCATGTTTTCATAATACAATCTCTTATGCCCTTATCATGAACTACCTATCATAGACTAAAAATTTGTAAAACAAGTGGTAAAATATATTTTCAGTAGGTTCCAGCTTAAAAGCAGGAGGCACAAGTATCCTCCTATACATTTAATCAACTCTAAAAAGTTAAATGCTGTACATCTATGTTACAGATTCAGCGCATGCCCAAGATTTGTCTGCTCTTTAGTTGATAGCTTTCTTCCAGTTCAGACAGTGCTTGAGCCCGTAGATTTACAGCATATAGACGTTTTTTGAGATCAGAGCATTTCATGTTGGAAAGGGGACAGTTTTCCAAATTAGCGGGAGGCACAGCATTGTGTGCACTTCCATCAAAGTGTACTTTCTTCTTGGTTGTAGAAAAGGGGAGCAGGAGTGCGTTATCTTAAGAAATAAATAAAAGTACTGGATTAGCACATATTTCAGCATTTATCACTTAGCTTATGTCTTTTAACGCTGTTATGCATTTTACTAACTACCTATGGCTTTACATAATATAAGTGCATTTCAGTTCACAGCAATAATTCTTTTCCATTTTTGGAGGAAAAATTGAAAGCAGGCCTTTTAAATAATTACGGTAAAAGGACACAAGCCATTGTAGTTTCTAGGGCGCACCTCCCAGCAACTAAGGAAATATTAGTTGATATAAGGAGAAAAGAGATGGGAGTTTCTTCTGAAGGACAGGACAGTAACATAAACCAGTTCCAAAGGGAAATGGAGAATTAGGCTCTCAGCTACCAAAAAGCCTTGTCTTTCCTTCATAGGAGGGGCAGACCCAACCTGTCCAGTGGCCTTTCTACATTACCCACACTGTTCCAACTCTATTCCTGTATCAAGTTAATGGGGTACAAACTGTGCTCTGATGTGATGAATGAGTTTAGGTGCATTAACAGTTAGCAAGTTACTTTCAGCGCAGCCTCCAGGACAGGAATTTTTATAGTATAGCTATGCTTTAGCTGTATAGAACTGCCACAGTCAAAAGGCAGTTAGTTTGTTTTGGTTTTAATAACGTCGGGTATGAAAATTACCATCAAAAAGATATTAATATAGCTGAATTGTCTCTCATAATAGCAAACTTCACAAGACTCAGATTGAAGAAAAAAAAAAATTAGTCCTTATGAAAAGTCTAACTGTCCTAATCATAACTCTGCTGAAGCCTTCATTGTTGATTCAGTAGGCTAGAGCAAGGATGCACTAAGCACCGAATAGTGAGAAGGACCAGACTGAAGGGGCTAATGTTTCAGCACTTTATAGTTTCATATCAGTAAGCTATATGTGTTTTAACATTAAAGCCTTCCCTTCGAATCAGAAAATCCCTGCAAAAGTAGGGTGGGGTCTAGGACACTGTCCTAGAAACCAGGACTTTTTGTATTCCATTTCACTGTGAAGTGAATCACACAACTGAGGAGAAATTAGGGATCTAAAAATGTGAGATGCAATCCAGTTGCAAAAAAGACAGTCATATTAGAGTAACTGAAAACAACAAAAGCAATCTTGATAACATATTGGAGAAACACTTAGTCCATTCATACCAGCACAGGGAGAATTTGAGAAACAGTATCACACGAGTACCATGGAATGAATTTGAAGAGTAGCAAACATTGTGAGAAACGTTTAATCGAGTGATCTACAGATATTGCAAGACTTGGTCACTCTAATAACTACATTCACTTTTCTGCATTGTCTATCTTGAGGTATTAACTACCCAAAGTGGTTTTGCCCATCTTCAAAAATTAATACCCTTGTTAAGATCATGTAAAGGGGTGGGAAATTGAGAAGAGAACAGAAACAAATGCTGAAGCTCATTTAGCTTCAGTCATCCAGTCCTAGAGGCAACACCAGAAAGCCCAAGGCAAGTTTATTCTTAATGATACATTAAAGAATATAAAAAAGTCAGACAAGATGTTGAAAGACAGGTGGAATTCTCAAAATTGACAGAAATGTTAGAAATAGCTGAAGTACCACTAACTTCTGGTGGCATTTTACTGGTGTTCTTTCCTGCTGTGATAGGGACTTGAAAAAATGCAACTTCAGCTTTATTTGTGTTAGAGGCAGTGACATGCTTATGTTGCTTTAGCTGAGCAAAACTAAAGGAAAAGATTGTTGCTGGATGTTAAAGGGTGTTCACATTTCTTTGTTCTCGAGTACTACTTAGGAGCCAGCCATTTAATATTCCACAAATATTTGAATAATTTTTACTGTTAAAGATGGGTGCAATGAACTGGTGATGATAGTGAGGAATAACAAACAAGACCCATGTGAGGGTCAAATACTTATGAGGTAATACCTACTGTAAACCAAACTGGACTACAATTAGTCAGGAAGCATTATAGCACATTTTGAAAGCCTTTTTTTTTTTCCTAGTGAGTTAAACTGGAGTATGATAGTAGCAGTTTGTAGTCTTCAGAGCTTATATGAGACACTAATTACAGCTGAGTCGCAACAAATATTATTTCCAAACTTGAAGTTTTTGAAGTTGAACTAAATCTGAAGTGATTAGACATGTGCAATTTTATTAAAATTAACTAAATCAAAGGTCTATAAAGAAGTATCCATAAGTAAAATAAGTACAGCTCTGAGAAAGTTTGGGTTACAAGTCAGCACTTATATTAGCTTACCACAAGAACCCAATTTTCAAAACAGCACAAGACTGCAGTGCTGACAGCAGTCACTCATACTCATGGCTGAGCATCAGTCATTAAGTCTTTTTGCAAAGTAGAAAAATCAGTAGTCTCTTCTCAACCATGCAGAGATAATTGGGGTTCGTATGGCTACAATGGGACTAGGTACAGCATGCTGAGCATCAGGGGCATTCTTCTAGTCATACCAGCCTATATTTATCACTGCACGTGGCTTCTTGCATATTTTCATACCTGGACCATCTGCACAAGCTAATGTCCTCTGTTGTTTGTAGCGATTGTAGTTCCTCATCATGTTTTCAGCTCTGTTTTGAAAAGATGAGTTTAAGCTTTTTGTTGTAAGATTGTAGAGTTTCTAATATAAGCAATTAGAGGTTAGTAAAATACCTAGCAAGTTTGTCCTCTGCCAGTCTCTCTCGAACACAGAGTTCCCGTTCTCTCTCTGGAAGTAGAAATATGGTCGTATGCAGTGTTAAAATGTAACTGTTAGAGTGATTGTGCATGACATTTTCTAGCAGATAAAGACAGCACTAATAGCCTGTCAGATGCAGCCATATTTCTGCTTCTATGGCTCTAAACAAAGCAAGGTAACTGCTGTGTAGATCCACCTGTATCTGATAAACACCTTTATCTGATATAAATCTGATACCAGATTTGCACTGAAAGCACTGGACAAGTACTCTGAAATGCCAGGCATGCTTCGTCTTCACCCCAAACTCTGCCATATCTACAATAAAACTATAGCAGCTTTCTATTTTGCACATCAGTTCATGGCATACATGACACCAGATCTAAATATTTAGATACCAGATACTACAACTCAGCTACGACTAAATACCCTGTTTACAGCAGCAGCCGCCGTTATTCAGGCTCAGAAAACACCACATAAGGTTAAAAATCTGTATTACAGAGCCTAATGCATATGCAAAGGGTATTTTATGTGGGCAGGAAATCCCCACACCTGAGGACCAGCCATCTATATGGTTTCACAGGCAAGCTACCTGTAGGGTACAGCTGCTATAAAAGCAGTTCTGTCTGCTCACGTATGCTTTGCTCCAACATCAGGCTCACCTTAGGTTACACATTAGTGTAGCCAATGTTTACTTTCACAGAGTGGGTGAAAACCAACCTACACTGCACAGTGCAGAAAAATATATTCAGACCCTATTTTTCCTGTATACTTTTCTAATTGCCAATCATGTTTAATAATCTTCCCAAACCAGATTTCTGTCTCCAAACTGCCAATTAGATCTTAGCAACTTGAAACAACTAGTATAGATGAGTAAGCCCAAGCCTTCTTGTTTTAGTCTTTAAACAGAATTTTAGTAGTGAATGCAGGAGTACGATACCCTCGTGCATTTTGAAAGCTTCCTTCCTCCGTACTTATTCTTTTGAATCAGAATCCCATTGCCACCCCCTTCCCAAAGTGGAATATCATACGCTCCAAGCGTTGCTCTCTCTCTTTAATGGCTTGTTCTCGCTCCTGTAATTGTTGCTCCTTCCGTTTCAGCTCATTCACTGCAGCATCTGAATTCTGCAGCCTTTCTGGCTCCCGTGATCTCTGGCCTCTTTTGTCAGAATTTTGTCTTTGTTCTTCTGTCACCAAGTCTGCTATCAAGGGGTGCTGCAGAATATCTTCAACAGAAGGTCGGCAATAATCCTAAAGGAAAGACATTACCAACAGGTTCCATCTGTAACCAAGAAACATTAAGACCAGGGATTCCCAAGCAAGACCCACCGCAGATAGAAACCAGCTGAGGTGCTATACAGTGAAGAAGTTAGAGAAAAATGGAGTTAGGAAGGGGCAGCGCAACCAGATGACAAAAGCTGAGGGAAGAGGCTGTTACCAGCCTTCAGCTCCAGAAGCCGCAAGCCTGGATCTCCTAGTCCAGGCACCCACTCCTTTCAGAGCCACAATGGGGTGGTGAGCCTACAGAGACAAATGTCCGTAGGTTCTGGAGCTGACACGCTGCATCTCTACCTGTCACTTGATTCCTGAAGGATCCACACCTGTTGGAGACTTGGCTTCTTTTTACAGCTTTGTTGTACCATGCAATACTCTTCTCAACACCCCCCTGCCAGCCATGGGGGGCAAACTATACATTAGCCACATAAAGCAAAAACCGAAACGAAGACAAAACAACCCCTTCCAACTTCCAAACACACCGGAACCATTTTAACCCTGAAGTTATAAGACCTTGTTAAGCACGCTGCCAGGAAATTTTGTATAAACCAATACTGAGACAGTCTTTTTGCATCCTGTGAACCTGGCATAACACTTGAGCCGCTGCCTTTGTTTAATGGACTCAAAGCACAATTCCTCCCCTCTTCCCCCACAAGTGATATTGCCAGAGATAAGGTGACAGAAACCACTACTTCCGATCAGTTTGTTTCACAATTGAGAAGGAAAACTAATATTTCAGTATTAGTTCAAATTATAGGTGGAAAAATTAGTAATTTTACCTTTACGTTCAGCATCTCTTTGAGAAGTTCATTCAACTGGTCTGAGTAACGATATGGTAGTCGTCTGAATTTCCCTTCCCTTATCTTTTCTGCCAACTCCTTTCGGTTGTAAGCCCTAAACGGAGGCCTGAAGAACAACACTTTTGTTGGATTCTTTCACCAGTTTTACAGGACTCATTTTCATAAAAAACACATCAGACTAAGTAAAAAAGCTACAATCAAATATTTGCTTTGACTACCTAATGTCAAGAGCAATACAGAAATATAAGTCTAGGACTAATCTCCAAAACATTTAATCTTTCATCTATAAAAAACTTAATCATAAATGCATTAACAGCTATGTTTCCCATTTATTACCACATTATACTTACGAGAGAGCACATAATTCGTACAGGAGACATCCTAGAGACCAGATGTCAGATTTTTCATTGTATGACATATGGTTCATTTGTTCCTAAATAAGGAGAACAACCTCAGGTTTATTAATGAAGACATTTTCTATTATTGCAGGATAACCAGTTGCTGTTCAAATCTAGGTTAAACCACTACTGGGGTTACTTTTAAGATTCCATCTTAATTAATCTCCACAGCTACTCTTACTAGCAGGATTTTTAAGAAGTTGTGGCAGTACTACACTGTAGAAGACTGAAGTGTTGCACCAGTCTTCAGTTGATACAACTCTATTTCAGTCAACATTAATCTTTCCCACACAAAATGCACGATATCAGGGAAACGACTCATTCTTGCTCATTTCCACTACAAATTAAAATCTTACCATCAAGAGTTAATTGAATAAGCTCTTTACCTAACAGTATGAAATATAAAAGTGCTCTAGCTTCCCTATTCCTTTTCAGGACAATATACTCCAACATATCTCTAGTATTCCAAGAACATATCAAAACTTATACAGCGAAGAGCAACTTTAATTAGAAGGCAGCGATGGTGTGGGGAAGAAAGGAGACGAAAATAACTGCAAAATAACCTTGTCTCCAAAACATATACATTTTATGAAAAAAGTCACCTGCCTTCAAGGCTAGTAACTCTTCCTTGAAACCTTGCACACATTCATGGACTCTGAAGAAAACAGATCTTGAAGGGACAAAAGGCAAGACAAGGCATAGAAGGGAGCTCTTACTGGAGACATATAATACGGAGTTCCAACAAACGTTTTGGCAAAGCTGGTGTCATGGTGCAGTATTCTAGCCAGTCCAAAATCCCCAAGTTTCACATTCTGCTTGCCGTCTAGAAAGACATTTGCTGGTTTAAGGTCACGATGCACAGTGACTCCACCATCACTCCGTCTGTGACATTCCTTCAAGGCCAATGTCAATTGAGTCAATACTCGGAGAACAAAGCTTTCTTCCAAGTGATGCCTGAAAGATGAACACATTGTTTAGCAAAGGTATTCTCTGAGCATACATCGGTTTAAGTAGTTGCTACCAGTCTTAGCTCTGTAACTTTTTGATTGCTACTGCTATAAAACACTACTGAATCAACCCCAGCACCTTTATGGAAAGCTAACAGCAACAGGCATCTATATACACCATTTTAAAAATGGAAGTTTAAAAAAAAAAATCACTCCAAATATGATAGAAGACATCTAGACTTTTGTTGCAGAATCCCCATAATATTCCCTTCCTCCCTCAAAGGGTCCAACAAGTATGTAGCATTTCCATTAGTTACAAAACAAACATCATGTTAATGCTTTTGTGACGAGATCTGCCCCTTTGATGACTTACAATAAAAGAATATTGTCAGCTGTTTCTAAATCTATTAGCAGCAACATACAACAATGGAGCTGAGACTGTGCCGATTTTTAATATAACCTGCCTGAAATGAAAATACTAGTATGCTTTGGGGCAGCTGCCATACCATTTTAGACTATTCTTACAAAGCAATGCATGTACTGTCATGTACTTACTTAAGAAAATGAAAACAGATATTATACTTATGAAGTAGGCTGCTAAGTCTAAGATTAGACCAAGGTGAAGTCTTAATCAGCTTGGTGTCTCTGCAAGCTTTATATGCAGGCACATAAAATAGTTTTTAACATCTTGTTTAAAATCACTTTTCTCTTTCATGTATGTTTTGGTGTTCTAGCCAAAAATAGGATACAAGTGGTTTCACTGACAGCCAAGCCAGAGGAACCCGCCGATCAAGCTACCTACCTGCAAGAACTGTTTTGTGATTTCAACACCATGCATAGCCCTGCATCCAGAAACCCTTCAACAGCTTCTGCCTCAGAGAGCTCAGGTTTTTTTTTTACTATTTGGACATAAACGTCCAATCAGTCGGTGCATTCATTAGCACAATTCCCACCAGCGCTGTAATTTGGCACAACTTTTTCACATTTCAGAAAAGTTACTGGGTCAAAAGGACGAGACCCGATGAGGTTCAGAAGTTATTAAGAAGAGATACATTTCACTTGGGGCTTTTTCTTTTTAATGCCCAACACACTTTACGCTAGACACTCCAAAACGGCCACGAAGGGGATTTCACGTGCCTTTCTTTCGTGCACTCCGCAATTAAGCTAGCCAGGTCACCCCCGTCACAGTACTCCATCACGATGTACAAGGTCGTTCTGCTCCTGTCGATGATCCGATCGTAATACCGGACGATATTCGGATGCCTCAGCTCGCGAAGCAAATTCACCTCCGAGACGAGCATTTGCTTCTCCGCCTCCGTCATCGAGCCGTAGTCGAGCTCCTTCCACACCAAGATCTACGAGGGGAAAAAAATCCGAAGCAAACCCGCCT